TTTGCTGCCTGTGGAAAACTGTCAAATCAAGCACACACATGCACTGATTGCAAAACCGCTCATGTTCATGTAGGACATGGAAAACTGTTATGGCAGCAATGGCCGTCTAATCTCCCGCACAGGGGCGGTCTTTCTAATCTGCCACACAGGGGTGGTCTTTGCAGGTACATCAGCTCTGCGTCCAGAGCTGATATCACAGGCAATGAAGAGGTGTCTTCGTTGGCACCTGACCTCTTCATGCCCCAGGTGCCCCCTGCATGAAAACTTCATATGCATGAAAACTCCATGTGGAATTGTAGCCGCATGTGGTTGGGAGTGACCCCCTGCGCTCATGGTCTAGAACGGTACACACACACACACACACGTTTGGAGCGTCCCCCTCATCATGGCAACTTGCCCCTGAAACTTTGCTTGAGGCACTCTCTGCGACCGGTAGCTGTGACCTTCGCAACATGACTCCAGCACATCTACAGCTACTATTCAGTAATGAGGCTGTCGCTCATCAGCTGCATGAAGCCTCGCTCGAATTCCTGGCAGGGATGGCAACTTGCTACAGGCCGGAATGCTCACCGGGCATCCTGCGAGAACTCGTCCATGAAGCGGTTAGGATCTTGGACGAACAGCTGCATTTGACGCTGGTGCCCGTCCTCAACCCAGATCAGATCTCATGCTGCGTTTCTCTTGGAAAGGGGTGACACAACCACAAGTCCCACTTTCTAAGTTGCAAGCAGACATACGATGACACTTGAAGCCGTTCTCATCCCGACATTGTTTCTGGCACATTTGGCAGTACCACCGCAGCCTCAATTTATCATCACGAAGGGACCAGTCTGACAGTCATAAAAGCCCACCAAAAATCCTGGGCAACGGCTTCTGCAAGCCTTTTGCTTTCATCTTGTTGCCTAGGAACGCAAACAACTGTCCATACAGTCATATAGCTGGCGTGCACGTGCACCATGCCATGACCTTGAAATCAAAACTGGTCGCACCATCGGATCACGATAGCTCCACTTTAAGCAGATCACCCAGCCATTTCGTGGAGCCAACCTGAAATTGCAAGGCTACCAAGGGCAGCTACCAGGTCCTGATCCTTGTGGCCTCTTGCTTGGGCATCTCTTGCACTGGGGACTATGGTCACATACTACAGCTTCACGATGCTCCTGAAACAAGCCTGACCTTGTAGCCTCGCTGCGCTGTCTTGCTTTTTTGACCAGCAAACGGATCTGCTCACGACTGATAACGATGCCAAGTTTGCCAATGCCACAACTAGGAGCATATAGGGGCTAAAGATTGGTGACAAGCCGTCTTGAGCCGCTCGCGAACGATCCACGCGGATTAGATCCGCGGGGCCAGTACTCAGGCCGGGGGCGACAAGCTCCAAACAAGATACTGTCTTGTGGCCACATGAAGAGACATTTTCCCCGTAAGCAAAAGCAGTGCAGCAACACCTCGCTTCGCAAGGGAGGCACACTGCTGCATTGTTAAAAGCGCTTCGGCCGCAGAAAACAATTTTCGGAAGTATGCACTCAAATTGGTTCTACTTGCGCAGCCCCTGCATGTACAGCAGATAGGCTGCCGTCATGAAATGATGTACCGAATAGTCTGGACTTGACAACGCAGCATTGCAGGAGCTCGCCCCGAGAAGCTCAGCCACACTTTCGCGGTGCTGAGGCTAAATCGCTGCAACGTTGGTCAGACGCAAAAGTCAGCTGAATTGAGCTGGCACGCTGATGTGATGATGCATTAGCTAGAGGGCACGTTTTCATTGTTGGACGTCACGTACCGTTTTCAACCGGTGCACGCCCAGCCAACAGCAAAGCCTGCACAAGTGAAGTACCCAAGCCGGCAAGAACAGAAGTTAGTATAGATAAACTCCAAGTCTTTTCTACGGTGTGCCGATGTGCGTTCAGCATGCCGAATTGGCAGGCAAAGCTGTGGCACCCTTACCTTTGCACACCCATCATTCCCTCCATTTTGGGTACGGGCACTGGCAAGGCTTCAACCTGGACATCCAACAGAAGCGACATCAAACAAGTCAGAAAGCCTTGACAAGGGACAGACCGAGCCATGCCGAAAAGAGCTCTGAGCTCACCTGCTAAGTTCAAACACTACACCCAGTCCTATGCAAAAGGCAGAACCACAAGCAAATCATCTGTCCTCTGGAGCTGGAGCACGATTGTTAAGGCCTGACGGATACAATTCGACTGACGTGTAGAGCAAAGTCAGCCTGTAAGCCTGGCCTGGCCTGGCCTGGCATCGCGCGGCCTCTCTTTCACTTCCTCTTCCAGTACTCTAATTGCATCATCCAGCGGAAGCAGTTTACGACGGAGCCTGGCCCCACGGCACGCGCTGCATTTGCATGCTTCATGCTTGCATGCTTGCATACTTGCATGCTTGCTCACCCCAAAACCTATGAAGAAAGCACAGCTGGGACTCAGTGCTAAAGTATATGAGAAGGACTCAACAGAGGAGGTTAGACTCATCACAATGCAACGACACTCAGGAGCTTCCAGGCATATGTCCAGCCTTTCATATGAGGGGCCTGAGCAGGCGAGGTCAACTATGTGAAGGTGCCTCAGAACAGACAGAGCAGCCGGAGCCCATTGCATCGCAATCCAAGCACAGCCAGCAAATGTCAAACAGAAGGTCGCAAGGCTAGCGGTCCAGGGGCAAGCAGGGAACTCCAGTCAAAGGCCATACCTCGGCATGAAAGTGCGCCCAGAAAAACTGGAAGGGCCTTGCTCAGATTTTCAGCGGAAGGTCAACAGCTCACTCAACATCCTCCAAGCCGCTGCAAGAAGGAATGCTGTCTTGTCTGGTGGGGACCAACCAGGTGCATGCTTGACCTTTGCTGCTACAGTATTCCGAGCATGTAAGACCGTAATCCCATAAAAGTGAGATAAAATTAGATGGCGACAGCCGGACGATCCATCCATGATTTCAGCAAGGGACCCAATGCGTTGCAGCGTTCTTCATCTCCTGGCCGATGTTGGAAATGAAAGGGGATGGAAGCTCCACGACTGCAGTGCTACCGCTCAGAAAGGCGGCTCTTCAGCCAAAATGCCTGTAGTTTCGCCAAGCCATGCGCCGAACCACTGTCTATGCCGATGGCAAGTATGTTGCAAAATTCCTGAGCACTTGCTGAACTAAGCATACCAAGCAAACAACCAAGGTGAAAATGCTGGCCTCTTTGTGAAGCAACTACCGGGAGCATCTTTCAACCAAGATTCCCATCGCAGATCTTTGAATGCTAGGAACCGGTGGTTCTTCGACCTTGTTGACCAGGCGGAAACTGCACTCATCCACCGATGTCTTGCGATCCAGCGTTTGCCCTACTTCAGTCTCACACTCTTCAATTAAAGCTGAGAGAGGAAAAGCCTGCAGGCGTTGGGAAAAAAGAATGGCAAAATGACCTGCAAACTCGAGTGACTTATCTGGTCTCCTGCATGCATGCACTACTGCGCTGAGGAAGCATAAGGCAGCCGCGTGCCAAGGTGATCAACATTAGAACAGAATTCTGCCAAACATCAGTTCTACCTGAATGGGATAAGATTTCCCGAGAAATGTGAGGGACGTCGACTGCAGTTAGAGATCGTATTTTGGGACCGTGCGCCCTTCCAGACCATCATGAGCAGATCTATTGCCAAAACTTTGCAGGCAAGCAGCATGCTGGCCTTTCCAAGCCAGCTCGGATCTGAGCTTGACCACCTTCAGCCCAAACAGAAGGCAACCATGCTCGGTCCGGAAATGCTAAAAAGAACAACCTGCGCATCTCATTGGCTATTCATGACGGACTGGTGCAAGATCAACAAACCTGCACAACACAAGCTCTGTTGCAAGCACCATGCGTGCTCTCGTCCATCATGACCACGGAGACGCGTGACACAATGCTCAGCAAGAATTAGGGCACACGGCTGAAACTTACACTGGAGATTATCTATGGATGCAGAATTAATCTAGGATTTTTTGTCTTTTTTTGTATTTTTTTTTGTTTTTGGCTTGTGTTCATGGAAAGTCTCAGGCGAGAGCTTGATTTGGCAATCAAAATCGGAAAAAATCAAGGGAGAGCTCGTTTTTGAATTTCAAATGTGTGAAAATCTCAGGCGACAGCTCGATTTTGGATTAAAATGTGTGAAAATGTCAGGCGAC